TTCCAACAGTTTAATGGTCTGCCATTTAATTTGTGTTAGAAAACTTTAGTCAAAGGGAAGTGGTTTCAATGTATTCCTGTATTCATTCTCAGTTCCATCTCACCTGGATAAATTACCAGGCTACATATTTGCATCACATTAGCCTGGCTGAGACGTCTTTCTTAGGAGGCCCTGACTTCTAACAAAGATGAATGAGAAATGGTGGCATAAAATCCACTTGGTAACTGTAGTAAAGTTGATGATAAAGACATTTTCCATTAACTCATAGTAATGGTCATTAGAGTTTGCCATCCCTTGGTCCTCTTTTTTAAATTAATCAATTTTTTTTTTTTTTTAGACAGAGTTTCACTCTTGTTACCCAGACTAGAGTGCAATGGGACAATCTTGGCTCACTGCAACCTCTGCCTCCTGGGTTCAAGCGATTCTCATGCCTCAGCCTCCTGAGTAGCTAGGACTACAGATGTGCGTCAGTACGCTTGGCTATTTTTGTATTTTCAGTAGAGACAGGGTTTCACCTTGTTGGCCAAAGTAATCTCGAACTCTTGTTCTCAGGTGATCTGCCCGCTTCAGCCTTCCAAAGTGCTGGGATTACAGGCCTGAGCCACCAGGGCAGGCCAATTAATTTTTTTTTTAACAGAAGTCAGTTTTGTTATAGTATTCAGCTCTACTCGACGGAGTCCACAAATATTGGGGTAGCTGACTCCACTTCCTCTTCTAGAAACTTATTGGTGTAAGTATCCCAGTTTGGGTAAAGACATTAAAAGAGGTTTTCTAGGCTTCTGGAAATGGTCTTTCTCTTTTTTCAAGGTTAGTCTTACTGTTTAAGCTGGTTTGAATAGATTTTCCATGATTTGCAAGTGAAGGAATTCTGATAAAGTCACTTATATTATATATACTTTTCCAATCATTTTTTTTCTGAATATTGTACCAGAAATTACTTTGTACCCCTTGCTGAATTATTTGTTTTCTTTCTTTTTGAAAATAAGAGATATGCAACTTGTTTTATTTTGACTTCTAGAAAGATTAGAGCCAATTTTATTTTCGATAACAACTACTGACATTTGATATAAACATATATTCTCCTTTCATTCCTCATCTTAAAATTCTTCAATTTTTCCTTTTAAAAAACTTGAGTTGTATGTGTGTTTTGTTGTAATCCACATGTAAGTAATAACAAAAATATATAATCTTATATAGATTTAGTATATGAGAGAGAATTCTAAGTTCTTTTCTAATTGAATGGTTGTCAAACTGTTTTATGAGCTTCAGATCCTGTTCTATAAAGGAAATTTTATATAGAAAACCAAAATACACAATGAGGTGGAAGTTCTCTGTCTGAAGTTTGAACCAGGCCTAGAGCCTCACTCCGTTAGTTCCACACCATACCTCCCGACCTACGTGTAACTTCCTTAGTCCTTCAAGAAAATCTTAGGACTCTGGAAAATCCTTAAATCTTCTGTTTCTTTCCATAGTGCTGGTGCACCATTTCCCAAAGATATTAGACCACAATCAAATTCTATGAATGAGTTTTGGGTGTTCATTCTAAAATCATCACAGATGACCCTTCTACAAATGTACTTTTAAATGACCATACCACCATTCATGTTACCACCTAAAGAGAATTGATCAACCAGAATGTTGTAGTTCAAAGGATGCAGAGTCTTTGCTACCAAGGCATTAAAGCAACAACTCTAAATCGATTTCAATTGAATATACATTTGAGTACTTTAGCAAAGATTATAAACAAAACCTATTCCCAGAAATCTAGCTCTTCTATTTTCATCCTGTGCCATCACTCCACCATAAAGATAACAAGCTATTTCTGAATTTTGTTAATTCTTTAATTTCTTGCTTTTATTAAATATAACTCTAAGCATGCACACACATGAAAGTGTGTGTATATATATACACAAAGACACTATGTATATGTATATATATATCTTCCTTCCTTCGTACACACACACACACACACACACACCCCTCCCTTTCTTCCTTCCTAACAGAGGAGATATATATATATTTCTTATCTAACAAAGGAAGATATATATATATATATACACACACACACACACACACACATATATTCCTATATATATATATATATATATATATATCTTCCTTTGTTAGATATATATATATATCTTATCTAAACATATATACATCTTCCTTTGTTAGGTAAGTGTTTAAGTGCTGGCATGCTTTTCTCTACCTTCTTTTTCACTTAGCAATATATTGTAGACATTACTTCATAAAAGTATATAAACATTTCTAATTCTTTTTCACAGCAACACGATTTTCCACTATGTGGTCATACATGAGTTTATTCAATCATTCTCTGTTGATGGACATTTAATAGGTTTCAAGTTTTTAGCTTTTACAAATAGTCTCATGATAACTATATGTTTATATGGTGCGTATGATTTTGTGCAGATCTCTTTTTGAAAATTACCAGTGCATTTTTGAGGTAAATTCCCACAAGTAAAATTTCTGTGTCAAAGGGTAAGTGCACATGCAATTTTCACAGCAATTGCCAGATTTCCCTCCGTGTGGTTATGTATCCTTTTGCTTTCCCATCAGCAATATATGAGAGTGCTAGTTTCTTATAGCCTTTTCAAGAGAATGTGTTGTCAAAGTGGATATTTATCAGCATGATATATGAAAAATGGTATCACTGTAGTTTTCATCGACTTTTTTTTGAGCAAGGTTGAGAATATTTTTATATGATTTAGAGACAGTTATATTTCTTTCAGTATGAACTGTTGGTTTATTTCTCTAGCCAAGTTTTCTGTAGGGTCGTTGGTGCTTTTCTTTATATGTGTAGAAGCTTATTATGTAGTATGATATTGAGGCTTTGTATGTGATATAAGTTGCAATATTTTCCTAAATATATTATTGTTGTTATTTTCCTTTGTCATATATTTTTTTTTAAATTATGTAAGCAAATGTGCTTTTCCTTACTATCTCTGGATTTGGTCTATGAAATATTTGTTCAGAATAGGCATAGAGAGAAATTCACCCAAGTTTCCTCCTATTATTTGTGTGGCTTCATTTCTTCAATAGAATCTCTGATTCACTTAGAATTTACCCAAGTGCAAATTTTTCCACCACATTTAAAAATATATATATTTTTCCACTAATTTGAAATGTTGCCTTTATTGTATACTAAGTGAATATAGAAATGGGCCTAATTCTAAATTTTCTCTTCCGTTCCTCTATCTTTGCTAATACCATACTTTTAAAACTACAGACTTAGTAGTATGTTTTACTCCATCGTAGGATTTAGTTCCATTCATTGAACTTATTTTTTGCTATATTTCTATTTTCCTTGCATCTTCTATAATTTCTGCTTTATAAAAGCTAGCTGTGGCATTGGATGTATAGGTAGTAATAAAAATTATTTGAATTGTGGTCTTTGACATCCAGTAGTAACCTTTGTTTCTTTCAGTGCAGTTGTTCTAAATTCTATCTTCTCAGATGTCAAGATTGTAACCCTGCTGTCTTTTATTCTCATTTGTCCAGAGTTTTCATCAATCCTTAAAATAAAAATAAAAACATTCTTCTGAATCACTTCCTTTAAGTTGTATGATATTTTTTGTCAGCCAATCTACAAATTTGCTTTTTCTTATACTATGTATACATACATAATATATAAAATATGCATATTTATCTTATAAATAAAAGGAAAATTTTAGATTATGTACGTGTTTATATATTTCATCTAATCACATTTTTAATGTTACATTAATAGTTTTACTTTTTTTTTTATGAATAGTGTGTCATTAAATGGTCTTTTTTTCTCTTTCTCTCTTTTAAATAGATATTTTAGTATTCAAGAAAATCCATATTTATTCTAATGGGTAATTTTATACAATATTGCTATATTAGAGCCCTATTTTTCTCCTCAGTGCCCTTTTCCTTTTTTGGTTATTGCTTGTTGGCTTCCTAGGATAAGCAGTATTGACATTAGCTACTAATTTTATCATTTTTCTTTCCTAACTGTCTTAAGACATATGACTTAAAGTAATGTCCATTTATGTCTAGTGATCTTTTATACTTTTTATTTGCATTCTCCCATTATTTTTGGCAATTGTCCTATATCTACATTGTCAGAGTATACAGCTATTATGTGTTATGCTGTCTCCTTTATGACCATCATTAATCTAAGTTTTGCATGTAAACATTTTTAATGCTTATCAAAAGTCCTTAAGCTGATGGTTCTCTTGCACTTTTGGTTGTTGGAAGACAATTTCATAGTAGCTTTCTCCATAGAGGTTCATGGGAACATCAATGATATTTGAAACCATATTTCGGTGGCCTCTATATCTGACAGTTAATTAGGCTGGATATAAAATAGATCCCCAATTTTAATTTCTTTTCCAATGTAGCTAAATGTATTTTATACTATGGTCATTTGGCATAAAGTATTACTATTGAGAAATATGCTCAAAATCTGTTTTTGTTTCCTCCATAAGTGGCTTGATCTGTTTTGGAAATCTCCCCTTTTTTTCTTTATTTCTTTTTCTTCCTTTAACTTTGTAGGATCAGCAATTTTACTAGAATATGCCTAGAATTTGTCATTTTGAGTTGACTTTTCCTAGCTAAGTAGTATCATTTTAGCATATAGTTTCAACTGTATTTTATTTCAGGGAAGTTTTTTGAATTTTCATTTTTAATCTTGTTTCCATTTCATTGATTTTCCTTTTTGGGGACTCCTATTGTACATATATTTTAACACTTTTTTTCTGGAATCCTTTAAGCTTTTTCTTTCTTTTTGATTTTTAAATATTCCTCATTTTTTTCTATTTCTCTGTCTATTGTGTTTCTTTGATCTATGTTCCTTCTAGTTTAGAGTTCATTTCTGAACATTTGTTTTCTAATATTTTGCTGAGTTCTATGATCTCATTTCTGACTTTTTATAATTCAAAGTTATGCTCTTCTTTGATGGTGACAGTTATCTTTTATCCCTGACCTCGAAATGCATGTGTGTGTTTTATTAACAGGAATCAGAGTCTGAATAAATCTGCGAGACCTAACTGATTGAATATATTGGTAAGAAAACTTCTTTATTCTGTAGGAATATAATTCTCTTTTCATTGTCTTATTATAGTAACTTTGTATGGGATTTGATTATCATTCTTTCACTCAATTTCCAGGAAATCGTTTTTCTAATACTTTTATAGGTAAGAGACATGTCAGAATTGCTTTTTTAAAAAATAAAAAGTTTTAGAATACTCTTCAGTGAATTTCATGAAGTGTCAAAAACATGGCTTCTTACTTTTTGAGATTTCCTGGCTATCTTCCTTTCCCATATGTTTATTTGGACCATTTCAATTTATTTGCCCCTATGATGCCTGTTTTGATAAAGTTGGATTCTAATCCCAAAAGAATCATCTGATTAGGGAATTTTCCTAGAGGGAAATTTGGCTGATTATTTTGAGAGTTCATAGAGCAGAACTGTCCAAATTTCAGAAAGTCTGGTAAACACTGTACTCAATCACAAATTAGATCCTTCAAAAGCTCCTACAAGTTTCCGCTGCTATTCTTAAATTAGCTTGTCACACTTTGCAGAGTAGCTGTTGGCAATTGGAGTTTCCCGTCAGGGTCTATCAGACATTCTATTGCTTCTCTCCATTACTTCCTGCATACATGCATATACAAGACAGGTCTTCTAGGTGATTTGTTGCTATGCACTTTTATTTGGCGGAGTCATAGTGATGTTATGTTACCTAATTGTGATGTAATTGGTAATCGTGAGACTCTTTTATTGAAATTATTTTTTATATTCTGTGTTTATAGAGGGTAGGAACTTGCAGAGATTAAAAACCATAATATCACTGTATTCTCAGAAGTCGCCAAGTAACTTTTTCAACCCCATGTGTTGTCAAATTTTCAGAATCCCAGTCAACATAAATTTCTTGTCTCAAGCAGAAAGAACTTCCTTAATCAGAGCAAACTTGATGGATTTAATTCACATACGTCTCTCTCATGTGAGCCAATTATATTAACATTTTAAAATGTCCTACCCATTTTCCCTAATGCTACTCCTTGATTAGTATGTAATCTGTTTACAATAACTCACTAGAAATAGCTTTACAAATATTTTTCCATGTAATAGCTGTAGTCCACCAGCTTTCCAACCTGTAATACCCATGTCCTTTCTGCCTTATACTGGATTACCGGCCTGAAGTCCCATACTGTGGCTCCTTCTAGTTGCAATTCCACTCTTGGTATCAGGTCAGTGTTTGTTAAAAAGTAGTTTCAGTGTTGTAGCACTAGGGAAAGTGTATTGGAAATTTTGAGATCCATCCACACATAAGAGAAAGATCAACTGTATCTGAAAACTAGTTCTAACATTAACAAGCTCTGTGAATGTAGTTTTTAAGTTAACAATAAAGATAACTCAGAATTATTATGACAAGCATATTATCTAATATAAATAAATTCATTAGTATGAAGTCTTACATTATTCCATGAAACACACAATACAAATGGTAGTGATTACTATGTGACATGCAACATCTGAAAATTCAGACTATGTTGGAAGGAGTATTTTATGAGAGCTATTCAATAGTTACTTAAGTATGGGATCTCTGATGATCTGTGTATTCATCCATATTTTGTAATCTCACAAAGATTACTTAAGTGGTCTTATATTATTTGCTCTTCAGATTCGGGCTACATTCTTTGCCAAAAGAACTATTGTCATATATTGATCTTTTCTGCTAACTGGCATGTTTACATTGTAATATTATTAACAGGAATATCTCTGCAAACAAATGGCAATGATCTTATGTTAATGGATAGGTGAATACTTTCTGAATACAGAAAAAAATTAGGGCTTTTTAAAGGCGATTGAAACGTAAGTATTTTGGCAAAAGGAAATCTAGTAATGTGGGGTTATGCAAAAATAAAGAATGTAATGACAATACTTTTTCTAAAACTCATAGAGAAGCTTTTCTGTTTCTTCTGCAAACTGAAATTTAAAAAATCAAGAATTAATGCTAAGTAATTACTATGTACTCAGATTTGGGCTAAAATATACATTTTCCAAACAACCAACTAAAGTATTCCACAATCATTCAGTTGTTTTTGAAATTATGTTGTTATTTGTTTATTGACTGGCAAGTTGTATTTCTATATCATAGCTCAAAATGTAAGTTAATGAGAAGCTTTAGCAATAACTCAATGTTTTGTGTACACTTTCAATGTGAAAAATCGCTAAAGCAAACAAATCATCTCTATAGTAAGCTACAAGCTTAATAGATGTATTCACTGAGGAGACCTCTTGTGCTCTTGCCAGAATTTGTGAAATGGCCAAACAGTAAAATTCTCTGGTTGTTCTCCCCATACTTTTGCTCAGGAAAAGTCAAAGAATCCATGATTCAGGGAATTGGGAGATATAATTTCAGCTTATAACTGCTATAAGAAGGGCAGTTTTTCTTTCTGTCAAAAGCTGGGAAGATGTAAAATCCCCTCACTGCTAATGCACAAGACAGACTGTAGAGGTGACTATACTGAGAGTAAGAAGAACAGAATGAAAAAGCGTTCTGGACAGAGTGAGCAAGGAATCAGCGGAGCCTCACAAATAATTCAAAGAACCTCTTCCCAGAAGTAATGAAAATAGGAAGAACCAATATGTTATAGTGCTGATTACTGGCAGACACTGCACTTGACATTCATTAATTCATTTAATTCTCACACAAGACACTTCAAAGTCAGTATTATTATTGTTGTTTACTGACAAGACAACTACGAGATCAGAATTTAGTGACTTGTTTTCTTAATTTGTTTATTTTGCTATAGAATACCTGTACCTGGTTTTTAATGAACAGAAATGTATTTGGCTCATTGTCTGGAGGCTGGGAAGTCTAAAATTGAAGGGCTGCTTCTGGTGAGGGGTGTCTTGCTGTGTCATCCCACGGTGGAAGGGCAAAGAGAAGGTAAGAAAGTGCAAGAGATTGAATTTGCAGACCCAGGCTCTTTTAAAATTGGCATTAATGCGTTCATGAAGGTGGAGCCCTCAAGAACTAAACACCTTCTGTTAATCTCCGCCTCCCAACACTGCCACATTGGGGATTAAGTTTCCAACATGTGCTTTTTGGAAGACACATTCAAACCACAGCACTTGTCCAGGGTCGCAGGTTGATCCACATGTAGCAGAGCTGGTATTTGAACCCAGGTCTTTCTATATTGGGTACAAATATAAAAAGTGATGTGACACCAATTGAATTATGATTGGACATTCTTGGAAAGAGGTACATTTTTTCTGAACCTTGCTAAGGTGCCAAATGATCATTTTCATTTGCAAATTGAGTTTTTAATTTGGAGACCTTTAGATAAATATTATAATTTTTAATAAAACAATATTTTAACAAAATTTCAAGACCATTAACTAGGCCACAAAAATTCCTTTGCCCCAAAACACAAATTGGAGAGATGATATTCAACAATCATAGTAAAATTATTAATAACAAAATTGACAAAAAAGTATCAAAATTTAAATGCGCCTAAATAATACTGAATCAAAGAATAATCTAAAATAATTTTAGATGTTATAGAGAATAATACCACTACTCATTAATTGTCCATTTTATTCCTTAATGTTTCTTAAACAAGTATCAAGAGAAAGACATATTAATTAAGCCAAAAGTTAGAGAAGTGTTAAATAAATAGAAATCAGTAAAGATAATAGTGTAAGTCAATGAATCAAAATATAGAATAGTGGAAAAAATGGTAAATTAAATTCCAATAAAATGAAAGAACTGCAGACAGAATTCTGAAAAATATAATTGAGGAGTACTACAACTCACCCAGATACACAAAATAAGGAATAATAGGTTGAAATAACAGACAAAATTTGTAAAAAACTTTGTCAATATTTTAAAATATCAGGGAAATGTTTATTTTCTTTATTGAAAAGTAAAAATTCTAATTAAAAAATCTTGAAAGACAATTTAAAAGTTATTAAGTAAATACTCAGACACTTTAATGGATAGTTATTTCAAACTCTCAAGGAATATTTTTCTTCTATGTATTCTGTTCTCAAGTTAATGGATGTAGAATAAGCAAACATATACTTTAAAATTAAATAAATATTAAAAATTAATAAAGGATAATTATCTAATTTGTTTCATGTAGTAAATACAATTCTAATACCAAATTATGATACGTCTGATCACCCACCACCCTGCAAAATTATACACCAATTTCTAATATGAATATGGAATTAATGTCAGGCCCAGTAGCTTGTGCCTATAATCCCAGAGCTTTGGGACACCAAGGCAGGAGGATGACTTGAAGCCAGGAGCTTGAGACTAGCCTCAGGCACATAGTGAGACATCCTCACATCTCTACAAAAAAGTTTTTTGAAACGAAAAACTCACCAGTTACAGCAGCATGTACCTGCAGTCACTGCTACCCTGGAGGCTGAGATGGAAGGAGAACTTGAGCCTAAGTGTCCAAGGCTGCAGTGAGCCATGATTGGGCAAAGACACTTGAGCTTGGGTAACAAAATGAGACCCTGTCTCCAAAAAATTTAAAAAATATATATATTTTTAGATTTTCTATTCAAAACTATTACTTCACTATATATTTATAGGTTTTCTATTCAAAAGTGTTACTTCATAAAGACTTAATATAGTAAATATAAAGAAATATAAATATTTATTTAATATATAGGCATATTTATAGTTTACATATAGTTATAATTATATTACTATAATGTAAGTTTTCTACAGGAAACCTACAATCTAAATTCTACACAGTGTATATACAAAATAATTGTCCAAATAGGGAGAGGAAAGGCACTTACCCTATCAGTTACTAGAATATTGTCATGGTTTAAATGTTTGTGTCCTCTAAAACTTAAACACGAATGTCACAGTGTTGACAGGCAGGGACTTTAAGAAGTGTTTGGGTTATGAGGGCTCTGTTCTCATGAATGAGTTAATCTATTCATAGGAGTATAAGGATGGCTTAATTTGGAAAATCTATTATTTTACAAGGTATGATAGGCAATGTCTTAACAGAGACAGGATTGTGGGAGCCATCAGCCTTGGCTATAATTACAAAAGGATACATTGCATAGAGCATTTTAAAACAATAATAGAATTAATAAAAGTCCCTCTGCTTTTTATTATGATCATGCTCTTTCAATTCTATATAATTTTGAGAGAGAAAATATTCCTCCTAGACAAAACATGTTTGTTGCTCTAAATTCTAAACAATTACCTGTTCCCAGGCCAGACAGCTCCTTCTTCCTGCCCTTGATACACCACTGCTCATAAGTAAAATTCAATCAAAGCAAACCAAAACACGTGTGAATGTGAATTAAAGGCCACAGGCCTTAAATAAAATTTAACATCTCTTGCTGACTTTTATTTGATAAAACTAGATATAGCAAGATAACTCAATGCGATAAAGATTGCAATCTTAAATTTTTATCATAAGTCAAAGTTTTAGAAGTATTTCATTAAAATAATTAATAAAGCAGTGATCCTTATTAATAGATATATTGTTTTTACATTGCTCTTAAGATTCTGAAAAATACAATGAAATATGAAGTAGAAATTAGTTGTGTAGTAATAGGAAATAAATTATTGTTAATGGATTATATAGCTATATAGTTATTAAACTCAGAAAAATGATTAAAAAATCACTTAAATTTATTAAACATTTAGTATATGCACTGAATAACAAGTGAAAAAAATGCTTTGTTTTTCTATGTTTTACAAATTGTGATCTACAAAGGGATCAAAAAATAAAAGATAAAATCACAACAGAAATAAAACAAAATTCTTAGGGGTGTCAGTAAAAAAAAGTACATGAAAATTTAATAAAGAAAAGATATTTTCTAGAAAATTGTGAGAATTTTAAAATGACATGCCAGACTAGTAGATAAAAAGATCGAATATTGAAAATATTTTTATTATTTTAATTTAATGCATGCATTTAATGACAACCAAATAAAAGTTCTGGTAGAACATCTTTTTTTTTTTTATTGCATTTTAGGTTTCGAGGTACATGTGAAGAACATGCAAGAGTGTTGCATAGGTACACACATGACAGTGTGATTTCCTGCCTTCCTCCCCATCACCTATGTCTGGCATTTCTCCCCATGCTCTCTCTCCCCAACTCCCCACCCCCCGCTGTCCCTCCCTTGTTTCCCCCCTGAACAGACCCCAGTGTGTGATGCTACCCTCCCTGTGTCCATGTGTTCTCATTGTTCAACACCCGCTGATGAGTGAGAACATACGGTGTTTGATTTTCTGCTCTTCTGTCAGTTTGCTGAGAATGATGGTTTCTGAGTTCATCCATGTCCCTACAAATGACACAAACTCATCATTTTTTATGGCTGCATAATATTCCATGGTATATATGTACCACATTTTCCCTGTCCAGTCTATTATCGATGGGCATTTGGGTTGGTTCCAGGTCTTTGCTATTGTAAACTGTGCTGCAATGAACATTTGTGTGCATGTGTCCTTACAGCAGAACGATTTATAATCCTTTGGATATATGCCCAGTAATGGGATTGCTGGGTCAAATGGAATTTCTATTTCTAGGTCCTTGAGGAATAGCCATGCTGTCTTCCACAATGGTTGAACTAATTTACACTCCCACCAACAGTGTAAAAGTGTTCCTATTTCTCCACATCCTCTCCAGCATCTGTTGTCTCCAGATTTTGGAATGATCGCCATTCTAACTTGCGTGAGATGGTATCTCAAGGTAGTTTTGATTTGCATTTCTCTAATGACCAGTGACGCATGAGCATTGTTTCATGTTTGTTGGCCTCATGTATGTCTTCTTTTATAAAGTGTCTGTTAATATCCTTCTCCCACTTTTGAATGGGTTTTTTCCTTGTAAATCTGTTTTAGTTCTTTGTAGATTCTGGATATCACCCCTT